TGAAAACATTATTATTCTATTACTATGGTTTACCAAAAAGGAAGTTGTTTTGTACTATAAATTAACAAATACATTAGTACATGAATTGATGAAATGAATTTGTATTTAGTTATTTTCTACCCAACAATACTTTAAGAACAGACAATAGTGTAAATAATTGGCTACTTTTTTATGATTGAAAGAATTCGCTAATAAAATTGGGCAGAAAGAATGATATTCCGATTACATAATTACCATTATTAGAAGTATTTTCTATATGACTGAATAACTAGGATCTACTTCTAGTTTTAGAAGTTTTCATTCAATTTAAAAATCTGTGTAAAAAGATTAAAGTTTGATGAAATTCAGCTTGAGAATCTTATTATAACTTAGCTAGTACAAGTTAACCAATTTCGGCAGAGGAAAATCCTTTAAATGATTTTTGATTCTATTTATTTCATGATAATTGTTCTGCAAATAGATTTCCTAGTTTGATTTTTGATAACTGTTCGTTGTAGTGTTTCATCGTTTATTCGGTTAAGTAATCATCTCTCGGCCATATCCAAGTCAGATGGTCGATTATAGTCAGTTTAATGAAGAAAAATACTTTTGCCCTTTAAAATATGGTTTTTGTTAGCTTGATGACGTTTTTGGTGTTAAGTTGCCCAGTTTAAGGTTAATATTTTGGTTCTATTTTGCAAGGATATTGATGAAGATATATCACACTACTAAATAATTGAAAGTAGTGTGGTATAACATCCCTCATATAGGCATAAACACAACCAGTATCTCGAATTACTTAGATCTATTTTATCATTTATGGATAGTAAGAAATTCATGACAGCTTTAGTCTTAAACTCATTATTCTTGATAATATGAGCTCATATTTATTAATTTGATGAACACTGGCTATAGCATGCATCACTAAATAGAAAGAACACGTGAAACTGAACTTCTATAAATCTTGTTTGTCGAGTCACATATTCCCAAATCAACTATATAAGAATTTACGTTCAAATAAATTAAAACCGAATATTTCAAATCTCATTCAATTGTCGAAATCTTATATAGATAATTGCCAAGAAAAACTGATCAATTTAATTCATTTACACACTCAAGCATTGGCTGTATTAAATAAAATATCTATAGTCTGCCATATTAAATTCATCAACTTTTGCAGTATAATCATTTTGAAAACAAAGGAAAGGATCGGTGAAAAACTTGAAAAATCTTGCATTATTACTAATCGTGTCAATTTGTTCCCAGTTAATTTTGATAAGTATGTCACTAATTTATCCTCCATTGTATTATCTGCCAACGAAAAGGAAGCAGTTTCTTTTGGCTTTAATTTCTCGATCCCTATAACGCAAATGTCTGAATTGGAAATAAATGCCCAATTTGAAAATCTATACGATCAACTGAGTACTCTAAAACCTAAGTCTTTACATAATCAAAGCTGGTTTAAAGCTAAACTGGTAGATATAGCACACCAATTTCATAATGCTGGACCAAAGCAGAGAAGCATATTAACTTCTCAGCATATTAAATCACTAAAAGAACTACGAAAAAACCCTGATACTGTCTTGTTGAAACCTGATAAAGGATCAGGCTTAGTTATCATGAATAAATGTGAATATAAAAGTAAGATGTTATCCATCCTGGTGTTGAATTTGACGGTATTGGCAAACTATAGGGAAGAGTAAATTCAGACCTAGAAAAATTGCTACATATGAATATCATTAATAAAGAAGAATTTAATTTTCTAAAACCTATGGGTTCCAAGTACCCTTATTTATATGGACTACCTAAAATTCGCAAACCAAACATTCCTTTACGTCCTATTATATCAATGTGCAGGTCACCTACACATAACCTGGCCAAATGGCTAACAAAATTATTGGACCCCATCCGAAGACGTCTATGTAAGTATTCTCTAAAGGATTCTTTTGAATTGGTCGATATTAATATCAAAGAAAAGACAATGTGTTCATTTTATGTAAATTCCTTGTTCACAAATGTACCTTTGAAAAAAACTATTGAAATACTATGTGATTACATATCTTTAAACAATCTTAAATTATGTGTCCCTTTAAAAATTCTTAAAGATTTACTATTATTATGTACTGACAAAGCTCAGTTCATTTTTGAAGGTGAATACTTTCCTCATATTGATGGGGTTGCTATGGTTAGTCCGCTAGGACCATTATTAGCAGATTTGTTCATGGCACATGTTGAAAACTTGGCTGATGACCTATTCGAAAACATGTCACTTTATAAGAGATATGTGGACGATATCTTAGTTGTTTGTGAAAGAAATGAGGATATGTGCTGCTTATTGAATAAATTTAACTCTCTCCAAAACCATATCAATCTCTCATGTGAAGAGGAGAAGAACGATCAGCTTCCCTTCCTAGATATACTTCTGAGTAGACGAGAAGATGGCTCAGTCAAACGATAAATTCTTAGAAAACCAACGTGGACAGGTCATTATTATTATAGTTATTGACCTGTGCAATACAAACGTGGTTTGATAACGTGCCTATTCAATAGGCTTGATCGTATTTGTTCAAATGATGCCATTGATGATGATGTTAAGTTGTGAAATAAAACACTAATGGGAAATGGCTATTCTTTGAAATTCATAAATAGTCCATGGCACAGTGAGACCTACTGTAGCCTTGGTAGAGTAAAAGCCTATCTACATCACCTTACCATCCAGAGGTGATTCAAATAGCCTCTTACTGAAACAAAGACTTAAATCAGTCATCAACAAAACGTATTGCGCAGCAAAGGTCACTATCAATGAAAGAACAAGTTTCATGCTTCATCCAAAACCTAAAAGACATGAAAACTATTCTGTCACATCCCACTGTGTTTACCGATTTAAATGTGTGTGTGGTCACAGATATATAGGGAGGAGCAATCGTGATCTCAAAATTAGGGTGTGTGAACGTGTACCAAAATGATTGCAGAAACAAATACGATCAAGTGACCCAATAAGAGTAGAGGATAAGCATCCATCATCCTCTATTGCTAAACATATAATTGAAACAGGCCATAAGATTGATCTAAACTCGGCTTTCGTGGTGTTGTATAAAGGTGTAAAAGGGCGTATACTAAGGTTTGTTGAAGCCTTAGAAATACGAACATTCAAACCCATTTTTTGTGTATTCATATAAAAATGCCTTGACAAGTATATATGTAACCAGATTGTTCGATATGTATAGCGTAAATACATCACATTTTTCTGATAAACTCTGTCTTCTCATTGTTCTATCGAAATTTATCAAAGGGACTAATTGCTTTAGAAAGAATATTGATCGGAAGTGATGTATCGTATTCACAAAAATTATGATTGAACTTACATGTATACAAGTTAGTCGTCCTAGTTCAAACATTGATTATCGAAAGGGTCAGCGTGTTAAGTATTTGTGAATGAACGTTTAAGAACGAATTTAGAGACTTTAGTTGCATATCTTCTGAATTTATTTCCTATCAAACATTATGTTACCACGCTATTCAAAGCTTTTATTCAAGCAGATTAGGAATGGTGATCAGCAAAGTTTTTTGTACTGCATTCATTTAATTAGATAACATGCATTTAAGTACTTAATGTCCAAACCATGAGTATGCAAAGTGTGGTGTATTTCATAGTAGACAACTGGAAATGTTAGAGATAGAGTTTTGATCATTCTAAGTATTTTGTCTGGATTTCCACCAACAGAGAAAATTATCATTTACAAATCTAGGGAAATCAAAATGATTGAAAAAAACTTTTTTATTTCACATTTTGTTAACATCTGACAAACACATTTGGACAAATCGTGCCGGCGTACACAAAGTACATAAATTATATGGAAATGACTTCATTTATATTTTTCCATGTTTAATCATTCAACTGGTTATGCGTACATGACCATATTGACTATATTATTATGTAACGTTTTCAATTAGTTCAGAAGAAGTCCAACAAATAAGTTGCTGCATTTACTCTGTTGGTCAATAAAATTTATTCTGTTAAAATGACCGAAGGAGTAAGATTATATGACAGTAATGAATATGCCATACTTGTTTGTTGATCACTGTCATACATAAATATTTTCGTATAAAAGTATTTTCATCCTTACTCTAATAAAACTCTTGGTTATTTCATAGAGAAGTTAGTCAGCTTTCAAACCTATATAATCCTACGTTATTATCGAAATATGTTTGGCAGGATAATGAGATGTGATTGATCCATATAAAGACAGATCTATGTGCACTGTGAACAGTGTACGTGAATAATTTAATTTTCATGAGCCTAGTTTTCTTTATGGTTTTGCATATTTCAATTTTATTTGTTTTTTATCCTTCATCTTTTAATTAGATCGACCACATTTTAACAACTTCAATAAAATCGTTTAAGGGTTTTAATAACTTTATTATCAATATTTTTTTTCTATAATTTCTAGCTGATACCTATTTCCACTAACCTATCTACTTGAAAAATTCACACTGTAATCTTTCACTTGACAGTTGAAGCCATGGTCTACAGTTTTCCATGCTCTTCGGACCTTTGAGCCAATCTCATGATTCATTTTTCAGTTTATTTTGTCCGTAAATTTCATTCATTTTCCCCGTCCAAACCGACAAAACAAGATTGTTGATCACATAATTATTTTATCCAAACACTAGTTTAGTGCTTGCAAAAATGAAATCGTCAAAGTGGACAGTTTGTCACTAGAATTAATGGTTAATGGCAGTAGTAGCAGTAATGTTAATAGGGATGTCTTCTAACTAGACACCCTAATCGATTTCTTAGACGCTTTTAATAACGCTCAGCTAAATCTACAAAGCGACTTGAAAACAAGATATGAGGTGAGAATTGTGAGAAGAATTGTTTACTCCGAGGTTAGTTCATATGCAGAAAAACGAGGGTATTTATAATGTTTCAGACAGCTTTGGTCTTCTGAAAGTTTCTCGGACCATACGAAATATAGTAGCAACATAGGTGAGTATTCTATCATTCAACCCTGATTAGATCAAATGTTTTCCAATATTTTCTGGACCCCTATAGACCTTACTAGAGAATACTTTGGATCTCCTCGACAAGTAGTAGTAGTAGTAGTAGTAGTAGTAGTAGTAGTAGTAGTAGTAGTAGTAGTAGTAGTAGTAGTAGTAGTAGTAGTAGTAGTAGTAGTAGTAGTAGTAGTAGTAGTAGTAGTAGTAGTAGTAGTAGTAGTAGTAGTAGTAGTAGTAGTAGTAGTAGTAGTAGTAGTAGTAGTAGTAGTAGTAGTAGTAGTAGTAGTAGTAGTAGTAGTAGTAGTAGTAGTAGTAGTAGTAGTAGTAGTAGTAGTAGTAGTAGTAGTAGTAGTAGTAGTAGTAGTAGTAGTAGTAGTAGTAGTAGTAGTAGTAGTAGTAGTAGTAGTAGTAGTAGTAGTAGTAGTAGTAGTAGTAGTAGTAGTAGTAGTAGTAGTAGTAGTAGTAGTAGTAGTAGTAGTAGTAGTAGTAGTAGTAGTAGTAGTAGTAGTAGTAGTAGTAGTAGTAGTAGTAGTAGTAGTAGTAGTAGTAGTAGTAGTAGTAGTAGTAGTAGTAGTAGTAGTAGTAGTAGTAGTAGTAGTAGTAGTAGTAGTAGTAGTAGTAGTAGTAGTAGTAGTAGTAGTAGTAGTAGTAGTAGTAGTAGTAGTAGTAGTAGTAGTAGTAGTAGTAGTAGTAGTAGTAGTAGTAGTAGTAGTAGTAGTAGTAGTAGTAGTAGTAGTAGTAGTAGTAGTAGTAGTAGTAGTAGTAGTAGTAGTAGTAAGCAAGAGCATATACAAACTAAGAAGTTTGTCTAACTGGTACAAAACAAATTCTGATAAAGTTAATTTTTGGCCTATGTTGAATATATTTTCATGTTTGCTCAATGTATGACGCTGTCTATATCATGATTACTTCCACCTGTCATTGTACTATACAGATAGATAGTCTGTTACATCACCCACGTGATTGTTAGCATTGGACTACTTGATTCGATTTGTTTCTCATATATTTTTGATGAGAGTTTGGGTTACAAAAGATGAAATATCACTAAAAACCAGCTAGAACTGAACGGTTATTTTACTTTAACTTGCAACTGCTTGATGGCAAGTGTATTGGGTGGTGTATACATTTATTTAAGTAAACCTTTAAAGGAAATGAGCATTTGTCCGTAGATTGGAAAATGTTGTTCTTTTCCAAAATAGAATATACCAAATATATAACTGATTGCTGAATGTTATTTTGTTCTTGCTCAGAATTAACTTTAAGGATATATGATGTTATCATAATCTGTTATTAAAATATATTTGAAATTTAGGTAGAACGTGGAAGGATGTAAACTAGATGAGGTTATTCTTCACAGTATAATCATATCTTTCTGTACATTTCTGGTAGAAATAAGCTTCTGCAAATAAATATCGCGAAATAATTCTCTTAAAAGTTGAACATATAATTGAAGAAATATAGAGGCCAGTAAAATATATGCAATATCTGTAATAGAGGTAAGAGTAAGCTCAAAGACAAATCTACATTAGATACAATCTTCATTTTCAAATTAGGCTAATACTTTTTGAAAAATAATTTGGTTGTTTTCAGTAATGAGGTGACAATTCAGCACTATATTTTGCTTATTTCTATTCCGGAGAGTGTACACGGATTTCCTCATAAAATAACGTACATATTTTCAGAAATTATCATTTTTATTTTCAAAAGTGTGTGCTCGAAAACTGTATACGTAAGTACACTAATGATACGCAAATGAATATATCTATTAGAATCAGATTATGAAATTATAACACAATCCTATAATTTTAAAAGACATAGACGTGATCATCTTTTGCTTTATTATAGTTCAAGCACTCCTCGTTCAGTAGAACATTCAATGCTCACAGTTGTCACAGTCAACTATTGGGAGATCAGGTATATTTTCCTTATCAGCTTTGATTCATTATAATGACACAAGAATGATAGCACACACTCTGATTCATTTGACTAGATGATAATGAATAAAACATAACAGTAATAAAACTGAAGTCGCTTTGAGAACTAAATTATTTATATAATCGGTACAGCAAGTCGTGACATTGTCAAAATATGTAAATTTTTATTTATTTAGTATTATTAACTATAGGTTTGTCCTCCAATGCAAAATTCACAGCATACATCATTTAATAGTTAAAGTTTATGGTCAGTATAGAAATATATATGGCTTTAAAATTATATTCATAGGGGATTCTCTTTAGGAACTTATTAATCGTGATTAATAATGATGGGATTAGTAGCTATATTACGATGGAATCAGATATGCATTCTAACCCCTTAGTTGTATTCCGAATAGCCACAACGTACAATGTCAAGTAGGAAAATAATTAAAGAATTCCTGTGAACTTTCGTGAATCTTATTATGCTACTCATTAGTAGCATAAACAGAAAGAAGGAATTAATTGCAGGAAATGCCAAATTTTAAAATTAACCCAAGTTGCGTATATTCGGTGGATTTAGATGACAAGGTATTTTATCCTTCCCCTCAGTTTTAGGATGAAAAACAACTTGAAAGTGACATTTTGTATGAGTTCCATTTTATTTTCCTGATAACCGAAAATGAATTAAAACATATTAGTGAGTTTACGAACCGACCTAAGTTAGACAAACATTGAAAACAAGGAATCACTTTATGGATATTTCCTCATAGTGTGGCTATCCTCATTTATGTTCATTCACGACCCCAACATGAATTGAAACCACGACCCTCAGGTCTCACGGTGAGAGCTTGGCTTATAAATTAGTAAATCGACATTTAATGGTTTCTTGTTTAACAAAGTAAGTAATTAGGATGTAGAAGAATGTATGACCTTAATGTGCATTAAAAAGATGCAATCGATTAAATAGATAGCACTCGAGTAGAACAGATGGTTATTTGAGTATTGCATAAAATCTTTGTTCATGATTTATGTAGACCACTAGATACAAAATAATTCTATTCTAATATAACCAATCCTAATATTATCGAGTAGGAAATACAAAATACATCATCAGTTTAGGGGTTGTGGAGATTGTTAAGTTTTTGATTGGGATCACGAACCCCTCGAGCGAGGTCATGGATGCGCACTGCTGAAGAGTCCCACAATAGGACAAAACGGCCGTCTAGTGCTTTCAGGTTTTCAATGGTACTTTAACATCAACCGGTTCATGATCTCAATCAAAAACAAATTAAATTGTCATATTATAAAGTCATATAAAAATTCAAATTTTTCCTATACTGTTTTCTGATTGATAAAACTATTTGTATCATCCATAATGTACCATAAAAATAGATTGTCATTGACCCCAATATACTCAATATAACTCTTATTATGCTGTCGGTTATTAGTTTGTGTTTAGTAGCTCATTAAAATATAAACATTCTACATTGTTGCTAGTTAACCATGTAAATTTTCTCTGGGTAAGAAAAACGCTTATAAATATTCTAACCTATAAAAATCATTGATTCAAAATAACGATTTACTATGACTCTTTTTTTGCATTTTTGTCGACTCAATTTAGTCTTCTGTTTTTACTTTAAGCTATGATTTGTAAAATTAAAATAATTCACACTTATAATGCTGCTTACACAATGAATGGACGGAAGTACTTTAATGTTTCACAATTCCATGTACATTCAATAACAGCATCGATCAATATTGTTTCCTTTTTAGAGCGGTTCAGTTTCATTATAGTTTAGATTACTTATAAGTAGATTCATTAAGAAATATCCATTCCAGAACGAAAATAATTTACTAAATGTACCAGCAAAGTAAATAAGAATTCAAACATGAAATGAAAAATGAGTACCGTGTTTGATAATATAATGATCTAACATATAACTTTAAGTACATTACTACTTAAAAAAATTGAATAAGTCAATACGACACGATTACAATTTGAATGTAAATGACTTGAAAATATGAGCTTAAAACTGTTTTCTGTAATTTTACGTTTATTGACGAAAAATTAGTGTGTAAGTTTCATCAATGAAACTCCAGCAAAAGGTTTAGCAAAATTCGTTTACTAGATCATTAACAAAAGCATAAATAAACTATATATAATTTCACCTAGCATATAATCTGTTATTTTGTTAGAGACAATTATATACAATCAGCTATTTGGGTACGCTTATATGTTTTCCTTTGTCCTGATTAGGTCACTTATAAAAGTTCCTAAACTTATATTTCATCCTGATACATTTGTAAAGGATATGGGACTGTATATAGATATTGTAATCAAATTGATAGTTCTGCACTTTTATATCTAGTTAGTGTTAAAACTCTCTGTAAATTCCTGTTTGAAAATTACTTACCGAGTCAGGCCATATGTTTCTAAAAGAAAGGAAACTTATTTTTGCGAAGACATGCAAATTTTTTAAAGAAAATACAAATAACATCATTAATACATGGCCTCGTGACATAACTAGTTTCACTAAGGTGCAATGAAGTTACTTGTTTAATAACCATTAAAAACACAGTGACATTATATAATACTAAGGACCATCGTTTAAATATTTTTGCACGAACCTGTTATGATACGTTTGCGATCAGAATACTGAACAATATCTCTCGACCACATCTATTATGATAATGGAAATTATAGTCCTAATCTTGTGAAAACCACATGCTAAATACTTCATTTCCACATCTTCCGTCAGTTGTCCTTTATATCATTCATTATTATTCCGAGCCTTGATTCCTTTGTGTTTCCCTTTCGGTTTTCTTCACTTCAATCTTCTCAACCTTCCACTTCCGATAGGCTTTACATACTACTTATATCTGTTAATATATGTAGCATACACCGCTTTAATACTCCATGTAATGACTTTAAGCATTCCGGCTGAAAATTGTGTGATTATTCTTGATTTACCTCTGAGTTTAAACATCCTTTTATTTTCTGATGGCTTTTGCTTACTGAATTCTGTACCTTCACTTATCTTTCTGGTATGTGCCCTGGCTCTACAGAAATACATATGATCTAGATAAGATTCTACAAATTAGTACATTGCCAAATATATGTCTTTGTTTAGTAAGTAGAACTTCAATGGCACCAAGTCTATGAGAAATTCAAATGACTTTATAAACTTCATTTTGGCTGATTCTCAATCTAATGTTAGAGTAATATGGCATAAACATTGAACGACATGAAAAAATATACACTGCTCACTCAGTAAAAGCAGTGCTTAATCATTTATGACTGAATATTATCAAGCTGGAGCCTAGATGAAGTTTGATAATTAACAATAAGTTGAAGTTCGTTACTTTGAATCAGGTTTTGTTAACCATTCGGATTTCGTTGTAAAATGATCAAAGACAAGCAAATTTATATAATTTTGACTGAAATGAAAAGAGAACTTCATTTAATCTTGCAAGATGTAAGCGCTGAAGAAATCGCACGGTAAACTGATGTGTAATTGAACAAACTACAGAAGATTCAGTCAGACAAACAACTCTGGTTATTCAACAAAACGACTCCGTTTTCATATAACAAACATGCGGTTATAATAAATCAGTGTAAAAATTCCCAATCAACCACGGTCAAGGCATTTCAGTAGAATAATTCAAATTAGTTTTAATGAAATGAAACTAGTAATTAGTATAATGTTAGAAGCAATGTGACTAACAACTGCTACACATTATCATCATATAATTTGATGCATTGTGAATCAGACGGTAGTCGTAAAGTAATCAGTGTGATTCAGAAGGGATTTAATTTTTATTCCGTTGACTAAATCTTTCACTTAATTCATAACCAAAGTCGTATTATAATG